GTTTTCCATTGGCCTGTTCCAAAAAGCCGGGACACCTGGAAGTGGGGCAGGGGTTGTAGGTTATAGGTGGGTTTATAATCTTCAGGTTGGTGATTGGAAAAGAAGGTCTGTGTTTCCAGAAGGGATCAGCAATAGAATGTACTTTAACAGAAATGAGGAGGCTTAATATGCTCACAGAGATACTATGCTAGGGACAGGAGGTAGGAAGAGTCCTGTTATCAATGGGCCAAAATGGTCTGTTAATGTTTGCGGGTGTAACTCACCCAAGACACCCTGGAAGGATTTTGAACAAATAGGAAAAATTAGTCAGACTCTTGTCCTCCCCTTCTAGACCACTGTAAAAAACCACTGCTGAAGATGATAAGACTGAGGAATTTGGAGGAATAAAAGAGATCACAGGTAGGAACAAAAAATTTGAAAGAATTATAAGATAAAACTCCCAAAGGAGTTGGGTCAGCAAATGGCATGGTGGTTAAATTGCTGGATCCCTCATAGCTGACTCCATAGTTCATGCTCTGGACCCAACAGCTTGAAAAACACGCCAGTTACATGTGCATGCATGGCCAAAATCCCAACAGGGGAATAGAGAAGAGATTGTGGCATGGCCATCCACCTGGGAGTGATTTCTTATTTTCCCTCTTTGTCTCTCTGACACTGGCAAGTATACCTGCCCTAAATAAAGAGAAAAAGAAAAAGAAAAAAAAACTCCCAAAGTGGTCTGGTTTCACTCAAATGAACTCAGTGCTCAATATATTGGATCACTGGAAAAGTCACGATGCATTTTGCATAGAAAAATATATCATGACTTTCCCGATGATCTAATAGAAATGGCAGAAATGGGCATTGCCAGCAGTTAGATTGTGTTGCCTGCCTTCCTCCTCTGCCATTCAGTGCCCCAATCTCCACCACTATCCCTGTAAAGTGAGCCTTCAAGGAACCCATCATCCCACCATGTGGAAATGGACAATAGGAGACCTGCATGGATTATGGGAATAGAGGCAGAGATGAGGCCAACAAGGCACTGTCACTGTGTCTCCAGAGGCCTAGCGATATGACATGGATTTCACTGAAGAATACAGCAGGGACTGGGTTGAGATGGTGCAGGGGGAAGGTTTGGTGCTGGCCAAGTCCACAAGGACGCCACTACCACCTCTCATCACATAGCAAGTTGCTTTCCAGGAACTAACATGGGATACATGATTCCTTTGCTTTTCTAAATCCCACCAGCTAAGCAACATTTCTGAATTCATGCAGAACCACAGACTTTCCACTGTGTCTGCACTCTGTTCTCAAAGAAGAATCCTCAGAGCCTGTTCCAGCTTTAGGAGACATTCTAGAAAATGCTGTCTCTGCAAAAAGATGTGCCTGATTTCTGGATCAGGAAAGGGAAGTAGCATTTCTCTTTTGGGACTCACATATTAGAAAAATCAAAAGTGTGGCAGGGTTTGATGCTATCTATCCCTTCAGGTGAACTCTGTTTCAATGTTTCCTTAAATCCACTCCCTAACATATTAGAGCAGAAGACAGGTAAATGCACAGGCTCTGGGATCTGCCTTCCAGGGTTCAAAACTCAAATCCATCACTCACTGTGTAAACTTAAACAAAGTTCAAGCAATTTCTGTAAACCTGCTTCATCTTTAAACAGGACAATAATAAACCTTGTTGTTGGACTGGCCCCATAGCCTAGTGTATAAGGGAGCTGATTCCACATGGCCACCTACATGGTTTGAATCCCAGCCCTACTAACTTGAAAAATAAATTGGCACATGAGCATGTGTGCTCCAAACCCCAACAGGATAAAGAAATGGAGAAGGAATGGCGGCATGACCATGTCCCATTGAAGAGAGTTTTCCCCTCTCCCTCTTTCTCTCCCTCTTCCCCTGTCTCTCTGGTGAATGCATGTGTACCCTTTGGCAATTAAAAAACAACAACAAACAAAACTTGCTGCTAGGGATGTTTTAAGGAGTAAATGAGATTATATAGTAAAGCGCACACCTAAATAGATTATTATTATTATTGCCACCATCAATGCTGCTGCTGCTGTTATTACCACTGCTGTTGTTACTATCTCTACATAAGGAATCTTAGATTACTTCACTACTAACTAGGAAGTCTACAATAAAACAGGACCTCAATTCTATTGCTATGCCTCAAAGTTATATTTATGCCAAGATCAAAAAGGCATTGTAACAGTCAGCCAATGGTGTGGTAGTTGAGGCAACTGGATCCCTCATGGCCAACTGTGATTCAAGTTCCAGAACCTGCAACTTGAAAAACACACTGGCTGCATATGCATGTGTGCCCAAAATCCAAAGAGAGTGGAGAAGTGACAATAACATGACCATCACCTTGGGGGATGCTTTCTCACTTTCCCACCCTCTGTCTGTCTGTCTCTCCCCTGTGAGTGCATGCATCCTATAGCAAACATGTTTTTAAGCCATGTTGGAGAGAAAAAAGATATTTTTAGAGGGAGATGATACACATGCATGTAATCAACCTCCAGATTTTAAAATGGCCATAAACCCTGTTCAGTTCTATCAACCTCAGAAGTCATAAAAATATTAGGAGCAATGAGGCAAAGTTAACTTTATCTGATAACCTAAAGGTAACAACCTTCTTCCAATGAAATAGATCTAACAAACACAAGAAGGTGGATGATAAACCACGTGGCTCTTCCATTCACAAGACTTCAGGAAGAGAATCCTACTAGAGTCACAGTACATCTCCACAATGAAGATTTTGGCTACATTCTCTACACATGGGATAGAACTGCTTTGTCTCTATTCTCAAACTAGGTACATATGTCTTCTTTGGTTGTGAGGGATTTCTACATAAAAGGTAGACATTATCATCTCTATGGCTATGTGATAATGTTGCCTCATATTATAGTTGCAGGTATAGCTTTTTGGAGTAAATGAGATTATATAGTAAAGCGCACACCTAAATAGATTATTATTATTATTGCCACCATCAATGCTGCTGCTGCTGTTATTACCACTGCTGTTGTTACTATCTCTACATAAGGAATCTTAGATTACTTCACTACTAACTAGGAAGTCTACAATAAAACAGGACCTCAATTCTATTGCTATGCCTCAAAGTTATATTTATGCCAAGATCAAAAAGGCATTGTAACAGTCAGCCAATGGTGTGGTAGTTGAGGCAACTGGATCCCTCATGGCCAACTGTGATTCAAGTTCCAGAACCTGCAACTTGAAAAACACACTGGCTGCATATGCATGTGTGCCCAAAATCCAAAGAGAGTGGAGAAGTGACAATAACATGACCATCACCTTGGGGGATGCTTTCTCACTTTCCCACCCTCTGTCTGTCTGTCTCTCCCCTGTGAGTGCATGCATCCTATAGCAAACATGTTTTTAAGCCATGTTGGAGAGAAAAAAGATATTTTTAGAGGGAGATGATACACATGCATGTAATCAACCTCCAGATTTTAAAATGGCCATAAACCCTGTTCAGTTCTATCAACCTCAGAAGTCATAAAAATATTAGGAGCAATGAGGCAAAGTTAACTTTATCTGATAACCTAAAGGTAACAACCTTCTTCCAATGAAATAGATCTAACAAACACAAGAAGGTGGATGATAAACCACGTGGCTCTTCCATTCACAAGACTTCAGGAAGAGAATCCTACTAGAGTCACAGTACATCTCCACAATGAAGATTTTGGCTACATTCTCTACACATGGGATAGAACTGCTTTGTCTCTATTCTCAAACTAGGTACATATGTCTTCTTTGGTTGTGAGGGATTTCTACATAAAAGGTAGACATTATCATCTCTATGGCTATGTGATAATGTTGCCTCATATTATAGTTGCAGGTATAGCTTTTTTCAGTGATTTAAGTTTCACTCCTCTGGCCATAATGAATCATATCTGTGTATTGGTACAACACTTCTTTCTTCTATTCACTGAATGTATCTCTGCCTGTATGTGTGTAGGTTACTCTGCTCTGCATAATTTTCAGATGGTACAGTTTTATTTTGGCAGCAGAAATTATTATAAAATTCAAAATATACACTGGAAATATATCTAAAAGGGCATATGTTTTATCCACATTTGCCTATTTCAATATGTTCTAAACACCTCCATGTTTAATCAACGTATACCAGAGAGGACAGTTTAATTATGGATATGTTCTTCTACCTGCCAACCACCACCAAGTTTACTGGAAAAAAGAACTAGTGTATCACTGATGCACATCCGAGTTCAGAAACATAAAGAAAGGACTCCCAATACTCTAAAAAGAGCATTTCCCAGGACCAGCAGTTAGCATAATGGCTATGTCACTGAACTCCCATGTAGCTGACTACGGTTCAAGTCCCAGACCCAATGGCTTAAACTCACGCCAGACGCGTGTGTGTGCATGCCCAAAAGCCCAAGAGGAGAATGAAGGAGAAGGGATTGCGGCATGGCCATCCCCCCGAGGGGTGAGTTCTCGCCTTCTGTCTCTCTGTCTCTCTCTGTCTCCCTGGCAAGCACATGCACCCTATAGCAAAAAAAAAAAAAAACTCAAAAAAATAATTAATTATTTTTTTAAAAATGCTTTAAAAAGAGCATTTCCCAGGACCAGCAGTTAGCATAATGGCTATGTCACTGAACTCCCATGTAGCTGACTACGGTTCAAGTCCCAGACCCAATGGCTTAAACTCACGCCAGACGCGTGTGTGTGCATGCCCAAAAGCCCAAGAGGAGAATGAAGGAGAAGGGATTGCGGCATGGCCATCCCCCCGAGGGGTGAGTTCTCGCCTTCTGTCTCTCTGTCTCTCTCTGTCTCCCTGGCAAGCACATGCACCCTATAGCAAAAAAAAAAAAAAACTCAAAAAAATAATTAATTATTTTTTTAAAAATGCTTTAAAAAGAGCATTTCCCTTCCAAGTCAATTTCAAACATATTGAAGTATACTGATTTAATTTGTAAAAACATACAACCACAAAATTCTCCATTTTAATTAGGAAGTTTATTAGGCTCCTAATTTCCATGTGTAGAATGTGAATATGGATTTACATGCTTTGCCTCTTTTTGTCGATCTTACATGCATGTAGTCTCCAATCAGTGGGGCCTTTAATTCTATTTGTCAGTGGTTTACAGTTAGCTCAATGTGAGTAAATGACAAACACAGAATGATGCATAAGCCATAGCAAAAATCCCACCTAATGCCATTTATCTTTTTTTTTTTCAAAAAAAAACATATCACAATTCTCCCTTGTAAAATATAAATTTCATAACAAGGCATTTAGTTGGCCTCACTGAGAAAAATAAAGACAATTCTCTCATTTCAGAATTCAGCAATGAATGTCCAACTATGGCTGAGAGGTACGCCCTGAGAATTAAATGATTTTAACGAACCCTTTAAGGTTTATAAAGCTGTGTTAACCTAAAGCCAGGAAAGGACACAAGATACAGGCACAAATGACCCAGCTCACTTTGCTGTGCAGTTCTCCAAGGATGCAGTGTTATAGACCTCCTCATTGTCTTCAATGCTCGAAGCGTCTGTGGAGTCGGGATCACTCACCACGATGCCTACAGAAGAGAGACTGGTAATGAAGGCATGCATCCGCTGTGCATAAATATCCCTAATGTTAAAGTAAGGTAGCTCGTGACACTTCTCCGGTGGGTCCTCACTGCACTGGTCCACATCAATGTCCTTTTGCTTCTGGTAGTACTTGGAAAATTTGTTGAAGATAATGGTGATTGGAAGGGCCACCACCAGGATGCCACAGATGATGCACGTGCTGGCAATCAGCTTCCCGACCATGGTGACTGGGTGGGTGTCTCCGTATCCCACAGTCGTCATGCTGATGGTGGCCCACCACCAGCAAATGGGGATGCTAGTGAGGCTAGATGTGTGGTCATCTTTCTCCACGGAGTAGATAAGCACAGAGAAGATGGAGATGCCCACAGATAGGAAGAGAAGCAACAGCCCAACTTCATGGTAGCTATGTCTCAGTGTGGCACCCAGAGAGCGAAGTCCTACTGAATGCCGGGCAAGCTTTAGAATTCGGAAAATCCTCATGAGCCGGAGGATCTGGACCACCTTGCCCATGTTCTCAATACCTTCACTCTCCTCTTCCTGGGTGTCTACTGCCAGCGTGGCATAGAAGGGAATAATAGAGACAAAGTCAATTATGTTCAGAGGGTTTTTCCAGAATTTCTTTTGACAGGGAGCAGCAACCAGCCGGATGGCAAGCTCCCCAGTGAACCAGGCAATACACGCAATCTCCACACCTTCCAGCACTGGGTCATCCACCTCGCCTTCCTCGTTCTGGAACTCTGACATGCTGTGGACGCACATGGCCACAATGGAAGCCAGCACCACACTTAGGGAGGAGATGGCGATCAGCTTGGCAGACAGGCAGTATGCTGGGTTTTCCATTCGAATCCAGATTTTCTTCCGGAGCTGACCAAATCGCAGCTTGTCAAACTTCTCCAGCTCTTTCTCAAACAGAGATGACTCTTCAAATGAGGAGTCAGTACTCACGTCATTGCTTTTCTGGTCCCAGTCCTTCTCATGGTTTTCCTCCTTGCGTTCTTGGTAGCGATTGCTGCAGCAGGA